TTGTGGAATCTATGTTGGGAGAGTAATTGAATTGAACACTGGTCATGGCCACTAAACGTGTACACGTTTGAACGTGTGGAAATAAGTCTCAACTTCAGAACCTTCATATACTGACGAGCAACTGAGTCATTTTCAGCCCGCCCTTTTGCCTTTTTCAAACTAATTACAGTAGAAAAACACCTGTTCAACAACATTTTTGTGTTCACTTCTCCATTCCAGTTTTAATCAGCATGTGTTCATTCCATTATATTTATTTACTATTTATTGTACGAGTGTTTTAAAAAAAATAAAGCGGGGATGGAACTGTCTTTGGTTGTCCATCACAATTAACTGCGATGGATGGGGCAGTTAATACAAAAACATATGTTCTCATTTACTCCCTACCTCCAAAACAAAAGAAAGAAAGAAAAAAAAGAAAACACAATGACATGATTATAACTGACAAGTCTTTCATATGTGAGATTTTTAATTATTCAGAATGTTCTAGTGTTTACTAGGCAATATGTCCGATTTCAGACCAGATACTTATTTTCATTTTCCCTGAACCCTACTGAAACATTGGAAATATTTCCCGACTTTTTAAAATGACCTCAAAGCAAGGAAATAGCAAAAAGAAAAAAGCTATTTTTACTCCTAAGAAATCTTTACGGCATTGTTGTAGGTAGACCAGTTTGGGTCTGACTGAGTTTTTCTATGACCCAGAACGAATTTTTCTGACTTCTAGCCTCCCCTTTCTTTTCCCTCCCTGACTTTCCTGACCAGCACGAACCCCTAGACACATCTTCCCAGACTGTCAAAATCTAGCAGGTTGCTGGACGTCTTTTACCGAACAACAGCTGACATATCTCAACACCGCAGCAGGCCGAAGATCAAATAACGCCCCTCCGCACTATACTCCGCGTCACGGTAAGTTCGCCTGCTGCAGCGCAGCGTAAATGTAAGTAACCATGCGAGCCACTGCGTGTAACAGGTCACGTGCACCGCGAACCTCACGGGCGTAGCACGTATAAAAGGGGGGGGGGTGTTACGGCGCTACGGCCCGGACTGCACGTCTCTGTGACGCGTTACGATGCCAGGAGGGGGGCAGGGGCCCCGAGAGGATCGGGGGGCAGGGGACCTCGTCAGGGGGGTGGGGACCAAAACAAATGCGCGGGCCGTGCCGAGCCGCGCCAAGCCGCGAGTGCCTACGTGTCGGGCGGGACGAGCCCCCACGACGCGGCGGTGGTGGTGGCGGCGGCGGCGTCCGCGGAGCACGGCGTCGACCGGTCGGGGAGGCGGGGCGGAGGGGTGGTGGGTGAAGGGGTGCGGAGCCCCTCCCACTCTCTTTGCCCCCTCCCCCCCTCCGGCCCTCGCCGTGCGCTACGCCGCGCCACGCCCCGCGTGAACTCAACTCGGCCCGACTCGCTTTGGCTCGGCGGCGCGAGGGCAGTGTGCGGCAAGCCGTGCGAGACTTAGCAGCATCACGACGGGCTTCACCTGCAGCGCAAACCTGCAACGCAGCGCGCGCGGCTCACTCAGAGCGACCCCCCGCAACACAGAGAGCACCACGTCATACGCCATAGCGTACAACGAGTGCAACCGACCCGCCAACCGTCCAGGAAGCAGCAAGGCGACAACAACCTCACGGAGGGCGTCGACACCGTAGAGCACCACCACCACCACCTCACGCCAGCTGCAGGGGTCCAGCGAGCAGACGCGCTGACCAGAGCCGACGACCCCGTCGGACTCGAACCTGGAGCTCCCCGAGCTGAGGCGGAGGCGCCACCTTGGAGAGGCCGCGGCCGCGGACGGGCAGGTGCGACGGCGGCGGCGCTGACGAGGATGCGATAGGCGCGGCCAGCAGCTGCAGCCAACTCTCTCTCACCTCACGTCTCTCATCACCCCGGCAGCGCCATGGACCTGGCCTACCTGTCGGACGCCTTCTCCCACATGTCCATGCGAGGCGCCTCGTACGGACGCTACGACCAGCCCTGGGGGCGAGGCTGGACGCCCGAGGACCGAGGACTCACAGGTACGGTATACCATACGGCCTCCTTTCAAACTCGCTCGTATCCCCGGGAAAGTCGTCTCTCGGCGGTCCGCCAGGCTCCAAGCCGATCGAGGGGGGCAAGGCAACGGCCGCCGCGGCAGAGTCCTTGAACCCACCCCCGCCCCGCGCCGCCCCACCCCTCGCCCACACACGAGCACACGGCCTCGCCCTGCAGGCCTCGCGCTCTCTCGGACCGTCCACACCACGCCGCGCGGGGACCGCGGGCCGCTCCCGAGGTCGGAGGTCGGGCGGGCCGCATCAAGGAGGTCCAGCTCCACCAGAGGTCGCCGGCCGTTTCCGCCCCCCAGGTGTGTGTGTACCCGCGGCCAGGCTGGACAGGAACGCGGCACTATTTATAGCCGCCATGCTAAGTGGTGCGAAAGAGCGCGGCTGACGGGCCGACCGACCCGCGGCGTGTTTACCAAACGCGGTCCCCGCGGAGGGGCGGGGCGGGGCGGGATGTGACCGGACAGGCTAACCCGCGCCTCCCGTGGGCTGCGGTGGCTGCGGGACCGGCTCGGCTGCCGCTGAATGGCTCCAGCCGCTCCGTCTGGTCTGCATTCCGACCCGTAATTTTCCCATCCCCGAGTTGTTGCGTCGCCGCCGCCGCCACCGCGCATCTGGAGAGTCTGGGCGGCGGCGCGGCCGTCCAAACACTTGCGCACACAACAGACGCCTGCTGTGGCGAGCAGAGTTCGTTGTAATTCGCCGCCAGCTGTCCTTGCGCTGCAGCTGAACAAGGCGAGCCGGGCCGTGCGCGCGCGCGCTGGGGGTGTCGCAAAGGCGGTTGCAAGTAGGGCGGGGAAAGTTCAGTGCGCCGGGGGAGGGGAGGGGCGGGGCGCCGGGGCTGCAGCAGCATCGCGGCGGGGAAGAGTCGGGCGCGCGGGGCTACTGCATCGCGGCCACGGCGACCACGGACCCCGCGGGGGGAAGTCCCCACGGCGACGGGCCGAGTGCGATAGAGAAGATAGAGGAAAGAGAGAGAGAGAGGGACATATAGCGCGCCTTGGCCGATAAGGGACGCGCCTCCCGCCCACAGCAGCTCGCCCTTCCTTCCAAAAACACTAACAAGTGCGGCAGCGTGGCCGGCCGCGGCCAAGGCCGCCCCGCCCGGGGCCCGGGCGGGCGGGACAAACAGCGGCGGCACGTGAGGCAACGGGCGCGTCGCAGTGGCCGGCAGCGGCCCGCGGTGGTCAATATTTACAGCGCGGTCTCAAGTGGCGGCCGCGAGCCTCTCGGCGCCATCCCGGCGGGACGCGCCCACCACTCGCGCGGCGCCCCCGGTGCGCGTTGCGCGTCCCCAAAGCTTTGCGCGCGCTCGGCTCCCGCAGGACGACAGACAACAGGCACAACAGGTCGCTCGGCACAGCGAGTAAACAACAACGTCGGGCAGCTGCCATAATGTGTTGGCCTGGCTGCCTCGGGCCGCTGGCCCCGCGAACCACTGCCCCGCGGCCCGCGGCGGTGTGGCGCGAGGTCGCGGCGCAGAAAATACCTCGGCGGGGGCGGGGTGCGGCGGGGGCGGGCACCCGCACCCTGCAGACGTAGCGCACCACGCCCCGCGGGGGCCGCCGTTCCGTTCGGTCGCGCCTTCTTTGTGCTCGGAAGATACGCCACTCACACACACACGAGTCCCACATACAAGCACAATTTGCAGAGGGTATCTAATCGGCTGTGCCGACTAATGGTGAGGCGGGGTGCGGCGGGGTGCGGCGGGGCGGGGCGTGATGCGTTTGGCGTGACAGATGGCGAGGGACCTATTTGGGGCGCACGGCGTCACGCCGGCCGCCAGGCGCCGCAGGCACTTATTACGGGGGCGCCCTTTACACAGGTTCGTCGTCGCACCGACACCGATGCGACGCGACGCGGCGCCCGTCCGTGTCTATTTCGGGTTCGACAAGAGCGATCGCCTGCGCAATTACCGAGCTTCGTACGATTAGGCCGCGCGGGGACAGGAGGCCGGCGCAGGGGAGGGGCGGCCGGTGGGGTGATAATTTGATCTGCCGGGACAGGAAACTCGATAAGGAGTCCGGGCCCCGATGCGGGCGGGTGACGGGGCGGGGGCCGGGGGGGAGTGTCACCATGGTGTCACCCGTGCGCACCTGCCGGGGCAGGGAAAGCCTATCGGCGCGGGCGACAGGTGTCACCACCATGGGTGTCACTGCGCAGCCCATGTCGACGACGGGTGCAGCTGCACTAGAGTCCCCCGGCTGGAGCGCGGCGCTGGTCTCGCCGCCGACTGCGCGGCGCTGATAACCAATTCTAATGCGTCTCGCGGCCCCGCCTTGACGGTGACCCCTCCGCCGCCCCCACTTCCGGGCCGCGGCAGCCGAGGCGCGGCACAGAGCTCGGATTTCAAAAGACGAATTGCGTTTCGTCAGTGCAGTATATTTTGTTTCCTGTTGTTGCGTGCGGCTGCTGCGGCGGCGGCGGCCCGTGCGCCAGGAGCGCGAGGCAGCTGCAGGCCAAGTGCGGCGCAGTGCTGCGGCGCAGCGGAGCGGAGCGGCCGTCCTTGCACTGCTTTGCACTGCTTGCTGGCGGCGAGCCCGTGTGGCTGAGCAGCAGGAAGTGGCTGTGTCCTCACTGCTCGCTGCGAGCAGAGGGCAGGCCGCTGGGCCACTCCTGGACAGGACACCCCTGCCCGTCCGGCCAGGCGGCACTGCCGTGAGTTACACAACACGGAACAGGCCCCGAACACTGTACTCTCCGACGAGAGCGAGAGGAAGAAAAAAGAAAATTACTACGACGTTCGACGCACAACACTCTGGCCTTGGGAGAGGCGCGACCAACGCGGAGGGTGAGAGGTGGAGGAAGAGAGGGGGAGAGGAGAGGGGCGGGGGAGAGGAGAGGGGCAGGGAGGAGGGAAGGGCAAAGAGGAAGGGAGGGAAGGGTCCCAGCAGGCCTCTGCTCGTTGGTGAAATGAAGGGGGAGGAAGGACTGCGAGGGACGGGAGAGGAGGAGGGTGAAAGGGGCAACCTCGTTTGAACCTATCAAACGGGACACGGGCGCGGAGGAAGGGGGTGGGCCGAGCGCGGCGGGCTCGACAGCGACAGGCCGCTCCCCCGCGCAGATCCAGATCCAGACCCCGCCCTGCCCTGGCGCAAGCGCCGCGGCCGTAGCTGCGCCGTCCACCCACAGCCTCGTTCGCGAAAAGGCGGAGAGGTCCTAGCACAGCGCCTCACGCGACGAGTCACGCGATGTGGCCTCAGCCCGAGCCTCAGCCCGCACAGGCGCAAGCGCGCAGCGCCCGGGAGCCGGGGTTTGCGGGAGGTCGGGGACACTCGCTGGGGACAAACCGACGAACTCGGTTGCGTTAAAGAAAATCCCCCTCCCCCCTTAACAACGCCAAAGTTTTCGTACGCACCCAGACAAATGAACCACCCGGCGAATGGGGCCGGAGGGGG